GTTAATAAGACCCACTTTCTAAATAGCAATAACTAAACAAATCATTTGGTAAAGCAATTTGATTTAAAAATTTGATAAAAGCAACATTACTTCTCAAATTTCTTTTTTCTATTTTTACCCACTTCCTCACTTCCTCTGGCACCCCTAAAGCTTGATGTGTGCCTTCTAATCTTATTTCTATTTCTATCCTTGATTTTTCCCTAGCCAAGAGATCTATGAATAAAATATGAAATTGATATAGAAGTACTGAGTCTATGTTTAGGTTGTAATTGGATGACCTACTATACCTATCAAATATAAGGGTTGACACAAATTCAAATAAAAATAATGCGAACTCAACTAAAAATGACTTAAAAGTCCGAATCTGACCATCACGATTATAAATAAATTGTGTATGAGTTGAACAAACTTTGATACGATACTTACTAAATTGAACTTTTTACACAATACGACTTATTACCAACCTTACCTACAGTAGCTGCGTAATTATCAAGATAAATTTCTAATAATAAGCCCAATAGGAGACTTGAATACAGGTCATCTAACCTATATAAGGAGGGTGTCTGGCCACCTTGCCTATCATTTGGGGTTTTCTTAGCCTCACATGAAGCATGGCTTATTGTTGGGTATGTATAAAAAATATTGGAATTTTGTCCCCACCCATTTCGTAAGATTCTTGCAGTTACAGAACGAAGAAAGGGTTCAATGAACATTGCAATTCATGATGCATAGCTTCCAACTAGAAAAGAAAAGCCTATCCTATCTATCAATGAATAAATCTTACAACAGAATCCCTTAGATATGCATTTTTTGGGCCATTTATTAGGTTTTATTCCGATAATTATGTAGCGTATGTAGGATAGAAGGACTGCATGCGTGAAATAGAAGAAAAACGCCGTCTAGGTGTTGCCTGTTGCTCTGATCTCCCCTATGCCTTGGACATGTAATGTAGGATAGTAGGAGTACATGCATGAAATAAAATTAGATGGATGCTCCAATAGGTTCGATACCTCTTGCTTATATAATTGAATAGCNGAATCCCTTAGATATGCATTTTTTGGGCCATTTATTAGGTTTTATTCCGATAATTACGTAGCGTATGTAGGATAGAAGGACTGCATGCGTGAAATAGAAGAAAAATGCCGTCTAGGTGTTGCCTGTTGCTCTGATCTCCCCTATGCCTTGGACATGTAATGTAGGATAGTAGGAGTACATGCGTGAAATAAAATTAGATGGATGCTCCAATAGGTTCGATACCTCTTGCTTATAAAATTGAATAACTACTATACTTGATTTATGCAAAAAATCTAAATAGTGTAATTGAGCACCAAGTTAGGGAAGACCTTTTTAGTCCTGTGTTTTTTGTTCTGAATTTTACTTTTGAAGTGCTTTTGCTTTCCACAAGGTACAAGCAATAATGAAACATAATTAATTGCAGTATCACCACCTTTTTTGCTTGTTATTTATTTTGTCATTAACTTTTTCATCCCTCCACATAAAGAATATGGTTTTGGAGATNTGTGTTTTTTGTTCTGAATTTTACTTTTGAAGTGCTTTTGCTTTCCACAAGGTACAAGCAATAATGAAACATAATTAATTGCAGTATCACCACCTTTTTTGCTTGTTTTTTATTTTGTCATTAACTTTTTCATCCCTCCACATAAAGAATATGGTATTGGAGGTGTAGCTTCAATGATTTTGAATGCTAATTTTGGTACATCTATTTCATTTCTCAACCATATTGTTCTAAGTAGTAACTAAACTATTAAACTCCACGCCTTTAAGGGACATACAAGTGGATCAAATATCTAATTCACAAAATTTGATGATCTTAGAGATACGTCTTGGTAATTGACCTATCAATGTTGAATGAGTAGGTACAATAGATGAGTATGTTTATATATATAGTTTATATGTAATTTTTTTGAAATAGAAGGGAAGACCTGTTGAGGCAACATTAGGATTTAGAACGGAAGATAGGGGGTGAAGAAGGATTTCGGAGCAGGGAATCGGGGGTTTTTTGGTGGTGGACTATTTTAGCCGGCATGAGGAAGGAGATCGAAGAATAGGTTTTTATTCCTTGTTTTGGTTTTGGATCTGGTCTAGTTTAGACTTCGATTGTTTTATTTGACTTTAACACAAGGGTAAAAATGTCTTTTCATTATTTTTGTTAATTAATCCAAAGTTCTTTGTATATGCATGCTACATATAAGTAAAATGAAATAAGAAGATTTAACCAAAAAACGAATGCTTAGATATATTTTGTGATTAGTCTTTTCCTACTATTGAAAAGCTTATTTACAAATACTATACATTTTTTTTTGTGTTAAATCTTCTTAATTTATTTTACTATTTTTGTAATTAAGAAAAAAGAGTTACATTTCTTTTCAGTTTCATAAGAATTGAAGAATTCTTCAATTTTGTCACTAGAGGGATGGTCTTTTGACTATTAAGAGAAGAACTGGAAGATTTTTCAATTCTTGTAAAATTGGAGTAGAGTTGAACCCAATAACTACACATAATCCAATCAAAATCCCCGAATTTTGTTTTTGATAAAATACTAAAAAAATATTTTAGATACATATAGTAGAAACACTCCTGTTAAATCTTGGGGATGTAGATTGCTCCTCATTAAACTTTCACTCAATATAAATCATTGATCGTGTGTAAGTGAGGGACACACTAAAAAATAATGGGTCATTTAAGTATTAATGATAGATAATCTATCATTGAATAAAATTGATGGATAGTGTAATGGAGAAGANGATAAAATACTAAAAAAATATTTTAGATACATATAGTAGAAACACTCCTGTTAAATCTTGGGGATGTAGATTGCTCCTCATTAAACTTTCACTCAATATAAATCATTGATCGTGTGTAAGTGAGGGACACACTAAAAAATAATGGGTCATTTAAGTTTTAATGATAGATAATCTATCATTGAATAAAATTGATGGATAGTGTAATGGAGAATAACTGACACTTTGACAACATTTATGAGTAAAATTTTATAAAAGGAAACAAATTACAATTTGCATTTTGAAAAAAGCCAATTCATCAATCACACACACAGTTATGGAATGGGCTATCTATAACGAGCAGTGCAAGGGATTCTAAATTTGAAAATCCAAATAGCATCCCAAATTGATAGAGATTATTGGATTAATAGATTCTATTAAAAAAAAATTGACGAAACTCATTCATTTAATACTNACGAGCAGTGCAAGGGATTCTAAATTTGAAAATCCAAATAGCATCCCAAATTAATAGAGATTATCGGATTAATAGATTCTATTAAAAAAAATTGACGAAACTCGTTCATTTAACTGTACATGTTCATTTGGGATCCATAGGATTTCTTATATATAATGTGTGATTAAAATTACCAAAAAAAAAATGCATGTGGTTTGGTGAACACGTGCAATTGGGTTTTTAGTAAGTTATTAGTAGAACTCTTTCTTCTCTCTGTCTTCGCACGACACACGAAGTGAACAATAGTCATCATGGAGGAATGGAATCACTAAACAAAAAAGAGAGAGAATCAATGAAGAGGGAAGTGATCCTCCTGTCCCTGTCTCTCTCTGTCCTCTGTCTCTCTCTCTACTTTCTCTACTCTCTCTAACTTCTTTGCCAGAGAATTACGCTCCTAGCAGAAATTCTTCTCTTTCTCTTTCTCTCTCTCTCTCTCTCTCTCTCTCTCTACTGTCTTATACTCTGCACAAGGCAGAAGACCCATCTCCAGTTACTGCATTCTTTGTTCTTGTACATTCTATTTCTAAGGTTCCCTTGTAAGGAGACCAAAGCCCTCTTAGTTTCCTTCTGTCTGCTCTTTTCTTGCCATTACTCTCTCTAAAATTCTCTTGAAAATGGGTGAAGAGTTCTTAACTGTGGTTCATTCTGACAGAGCAGTTGAACAGGTCTCAGCTTTCTCTATCAGAAATAGTTTTCAATTTGATTTTGCTGTCATAACTTCTCTGTTTTAGTGCCGTAGTGTATATATTAAAACCATTNATTCTATTTCTAAGGTTCCCTTGTAAGGAGACCAAAGCCCTCTTAGTTTCCTTCTGTCTGCTCTTTTCTTGCCATTACTCTCTCTAAAATTCTCTTGAAAATGGGTGAAGAGTTCTTAACTGTGGTTCATTCTGACAGAGCAGTTGAACAGGTCTCAGCTTTCTCTATCAGAAATAGTTTTCAATTTGATTTTGCTGTCATAACTTCTCTCTTTTCTGTTTTAGTGCCGTAGTGTATATATTAAAACCACTATCATTTCATTCTATGGTGTGATTATTATGTGACATTTTAATTTTTTGTTATAAAAGTGAGTGATTCAGTTCGACTGATATGATGTAAATTGATCAACAACATAAAAAAACCCAAATTGGGATCAGAATTCAGAGGGGTGTTTCCAGTTTCAGGAGATATATGTGTGTATATGTGTGTGTGTGTGTGTGTGTGTGAGTTTCTTATATTCTGTACAATGAGTTATGATCAATGTAGTTTTCTTTTCTAATTTGGTCAAGACTTGTACTTTTTGGCAATTTGTGGCACACACAAAACAATATATAGGGTTTGCTTTTGTATTGTTTGTGGTTGAAATGAGTGGTATGGTGTCACCAGATTAGATGAATTAGCGCTTCTCAATAAAAGAAAAAAAGAAAAAAAGAAAAGGAAAATAGAAATTAGGGGTGTGCATTTCATTGGATTTTTATGTTCTAAAATGGTAAATTAGAATATAGTTTTTCTGCAAACCTTATCTGTGGCACATGAGGCTTTATCCTATAGTTTGCAATTGCCCTGAATGTCACCAAGTAGTGATGGTATCTTTTTGTTGCAAACTCTCATGGACTGCATAGCCGAAACATTAGGGAGATTGGTTTCCGGTTGATAAGCTAAAATGCAGTCCAAGTTTTCCAATTCATTTTAGTTTTGAATCTATATTATTAACTGGTTTTGCATGCCACCATAAATACGTTCATGAATTGCTTAATTTTTTTTCATTTTTTTTTGGGCTAAGCAAGAGTACAATCATCTTGAACTGTTATTCAGCCTGAATTTACTCTGTTTTTTCTTTTATTTTCCTCTCTGGTTCAAATAAATTCACTGTTCATTCCCGAGTCCACCAAAACCTGTAGAAGCTAATAGGATCTCAAATTCAACTTTTTATGCTTTCAAGATACTGTAAATTCTTTGAGATATGGCCAAAACTGATTGCCGAGTTATTCTTTTAAAGGTTTTTCTATGATTCAGTCAGTTAAACGAGTAAATATGACTCCTCATTTGTATATAGCTGAGGGTTTATATTCCTTAGAATGTTCTGTAACTTTGTGCAGGCTATTGTGACTTTAAGGAAGGGTGCACATCTTCTAAAGTTTGGCCGAAGAGGGAAACCAAAATTCTGTCCTTTCAGATTGTCCACGGTAAGCAATTTGAGAAAACTGTGAAGAAACACAATCTAAAATATTACAGTTAACATAATAATGCTTTGGGGATATGTGCAGATGGATTTTGTACTAGCTAGCAGTTGATGTCAATGGAAGTTATTGACAAATCAGAGTGTCATGTCGTAAAAAACCTTTTTCTTGTCTGATTAACAATTTAATCATTATCCATTTCGCATAACTTTGTGGAAGCATACAATTACAACCACGTGCGGTTACATGCTTCGGCCTTATACAGAAACCACAGATGACACTACGAGTAGTTGATTCCCACCATAGAACTAGGTATGTCTTAATGAATAATATTGTTTGTAGTGTTCATAGGGACTTGAAGTGGTGGTGATTGGTTCAAATTCATTGGTCCAGATCCTAAATCCTGGACCAGTATGCATCTTTCAACTAAGTGGAGATTTTACTAAGGGATGCTGTTAGAACTGTTCCCCTTTCTCTACCTACACCACAACCATAAAAAATGGAAGAAAAAGATTTAATATTCTGATTATGGCAGATAGAAAGTACATGTAAGTGTTTTGCTGAGGAAGAGAAAGATAGGAAAATATATAGAGTAGCGCAATATGGTGAATAGAGGAAAAATGAGGTGGTTTTTGAGGAATCTGCCTCTTCTTTTTTGGGATACGTAATGTGCTCTTGTTTAATTTGGTCTGGTAGATTGGAGGAAGTATCGGGCAAGCTGCTTGCGAAGCAATGTAAACGATTCTTCTTCTAATGGTCTATGAATCAAGTAACTCCTGTGTAATCTAGTGTAAATTTGTTCACCTCGTCTCACTTTAATTGCTAGCACGTGCACATTAATTGCATCTAAAAGCAAGCCAATTCTTCAATTTACTCTTGAAACAACATCATCCAGATATATGTATACTTTGTTTCGTTTCCTTTTTTTTCTCGACATGGAGAAATATCATAATAGACCTGAAACTTTCTTTTCTAATTTTCAGGATGAGAAATTTTTGATTTGGTATTCTGGCCAGGAGGAGAAACAACTGAGATTAAGCTCAGTTACAGATATTGTCCGTGGCGAAAAAACTGTAAGTGAATAAAACCTATTTATGTTTATGTTTTTAACCTTTTACCTGAGTTGAAGTTTTTATAATGATGCTTTGTATGAGTGGTGCCTTTCACTTTTTATGGGTAAATTTCAGAAACAACTTCAGCGAGAAAGGGAATCTCAGTCCTTTTCCCTAATTTATGCAAATGGTGAAAGATCCCTCAATCTGGTAATTGTAGGACCTGTTTTATGTATGGGCATTACTTCTCATCAATCTTTCGCCTACTTGTCAATATTTGGTATTTCATTATTTTCTCTGTTTTGATCTCTTACATAGATATGCAAAGACAAAGCACAGGCTGATTCTTGGTTGTTAGGTTTGAGAGCTGTAATATCCAGGTGTCACCATCCTAAATCGTTGATTATGTCAAAAACCCAAAGGGGAGCACAAAGTTGTGTCAATAGTCCGGCTGGTTTTATGCGAAGGAAGCATAATCTAGGACTTTCGGAGCAGATGACTGAATCTTCGCAGGTTATTGATTTCTTCCTTTTTTTCAGGAAAAAAAAAATACATTAGCTGCTCAAAAGAAGACAAGTTTTGATATGAGAATATAGTCATTCCGTGTTTGGATTATTTTTGAACTTGGATGCAACTGTTTAAGCAGTGGAAGTAGGGAAGTGCTAATAATTGTTTTTTAGAGATACTTGCATGAATATGTATATTGAATTTTTGGTGGATATCATTATGGATCGGGTTGTGTAATTGGATTGGATGTCTGATTATAAATGGATTCGGATATGATTAATATTTTTATATTCGTTGGGTAAATGGATCGAATATAGTAACGGATTTTTTAATAGGATTTGGATTTGGGTGGACCCCCGGATCTGAATCCGATCCTTTGACAGGCCTTCTCAGAACATATGGTGCCTGACCAATACATAAGGCATCCACAAATAATCCTTTAAAAGAAGAGATGCATGTAGTATTAGTTCTGTCACAAAATTTCTTTTTCTTTCCCCTCAGTCTCCACTTTTTTTCCATGTTTTACTAATGAAGAACATCATATTTATTGATGTGAGGTGATGAAATTCCTCCCATTGTTCTTGTCAAAGTTTGATAGTGCAACCCTTTTCTTTGAAGGTGCACAGCTTATCGGGGAGCCCTACCCAGTCATTTTCAGAGAGGTGTCTTTCTGATGGTTTATCGTGTTCTTCTGATAGCTTTTATTCTGAATCAAACCAATCTATTCTGCAAAACGCAATGGACCTTGTGATTCCGAAATCTCGGCATACTGAACCTGATGATGTCAAGACGGTGGCTGCATGTACTGGCACCAAAATTCAAAATAAAGTGCTTAGTAGGTTGGTGACACCTGCTCATGAGTCACCACAAATAGAAAAAAATGTTTTGAGAGACATTTTCATATGGGGAGAAGGAATAGAAGGAGGGTGTTTGGGAGGTGGTTTTCATAAGATTGGTAACCACACCTGGATGCCCTTGGATGCTTTATTACCTAAATTACTGGAGTCCACCATGATGCTAGACGTACAAAAAATATCTCTTGGTGGGAAGCATGCTGCCTTGGTTACCAAACAGGGGGAAGTTTTTTGTTGGGGTGAGGGGAAAGGGGGAAGGCTTGGGCATAAAGTCGATATGGATATCGGGTGCCCAAAAGTGGTCGACTCCCTTACTGAGGTTTGTGTGAAATCAGTTGCTTGTGGTGAATATCAAACATGCGCTGTGACACTTTCTGGTGAGATCTATGCATGGGGAGGTAGTGGTTATGGCACTGATTTAGCAGGAGAGGATAGATACAGAAGCGAGTGGCTCCCACATAGGCTCTCTGGTCCTTTGGATGGTATATGCATATTAAATGTTGCTTGTGGTGAATGGCATACGGCAATTGTATCTACATCTGGGCAGTTATTCACTTATGGAGATGGAACTTTTGGGGTACTTGGGCATGGAAATTTTCAAAGTGTTTCTCAACCAAAAGAAGTTGAGTCTCTCAAGGGTTTAAGGGTAAAGTCTGTTGCTTGTGGACCTTGGCACACAGCTGCAATAGTTGAAATCATGGCTGATTGTTTCAAGTCCAACGATCACGGTGGGAAATTGTTTACTTGGGGAGATGCAGATAAAGGAAGGCTTGGACATGCTGATCAAGAAACAAAGCTTTCACCAACATGTGTTGCACAACTTGTAGAGCATGTTTTTGTCCAGGTATCCTGTGGAAGAATGCTCACTGTTGGACTAACAAACAAGGGAATTGTTTACACAATGGGGAGTGTGGTGCATGGGCAATTAGGGAATCCACAGGCCAGAGATAAAACAATCACAGTTGTACAGGGGAAACTTAAACATGAGTTTGTTAGGGAGATATCATCAGGTTCTTATCACATTGCTGCCTTAACAGCAAAGGGAAATGTTTATACCTGGGGAAAAGGTGCGAACGGGCAGTTAGGGCTAGGGGATACTGTAGATAAAAATTCTCCCACTTTAGTAGAGGCCTTGACTGGTAGGCAGGTAGAAAATGTAACTTGTGGATCAAGTTCAACTGCCGTAATTTGTTTACACAAATCTATTTCTGGTACTGACCAGTTGGCTTGCACAGGTTGTAGCATGGCTTTTGGGTTTACAAGGAAGAAGCATAACTGTTATAACTGTGGTCTTTTGTTCTGCCGTGCATGTACCAGCAAGAAGGTTAGAAATGCATCTCTGGCTCCTAAAGGGAGCAAACCTGTTCGAGTCTGTAATCCGTGCTTCAATCAGCTGCAGAGAATTCCACATTCAGGTAGACCATCAGAGATGAATAATCTTAGTCCTAGACCTTTATTAATAATACAGAAGGCATTCTCGGATGGGAAAGAAGATAGAGGTGATGCAACTAGTATGCAAAGTCAAATGGTCCCGTCCAAAAACTGTTGTGATGGTAATAGCATGTGCCATGAGAGGAAGACCATGAAGAACGAGGGAGAAAATGATCAGCCTTTAGACCCTATTTCTTACTTGTCTGGTGGCTTGCCAAGATGGGGGCAGGTTCCTTTCCCTTTATTGTTTAGAGAATATGGTGCAGAGCCGATGATGATCAATGTTCCTGAGAGAAAAAATCCTTTATATAGTGTTGCTCATGTTTGCTTGCAAGAGGTCACCCAGGAGTCAACGTTTTTAGCTTCTGCTGCCATAAATGCACCAAAAGACTTAACAGACTCTGGTAAGATACATCGTGAAGAAGCTCAGAAGCTGAGAGCTGAGGTGATCATGTTCTTCTAATCCTATTTGTTTCTCTTTGCCATGTTTATACTTGGCTATAATTCTCGTTGTGACCTCTCTATCTCTCATGTACACATGCATGCGCATAGATGGTGCTCAATCTGTTCCATAGCTTGCATTTTAGGTGCAGTAAATTATAATGTAAAGACTAACTTGTTCAGGAGAAGAATTTACTTCCAAATCCATTGACTATCTGCTGTAACACTCTAGTCAGCTTCGAAAAGAACACGAATCCCCGGTGGTTGGAGTTAGTACATGAACCCTTCTTCTTCGTTGAGGTCTTTGTAGAGTCTCACCCCATGCAGTCTTTAAGTATTTTATCATATTCATTACAATTCCAATGTTGACTATTTGTTGCCAAATTCTATAATGACAAAAAACATTGCCAATACTTTTTTTGACAATTACCTAGAATAGATGGAAACTGGAAAGAATATATAAAGTTCTAGACAGACAACTATGTAATTTTAAACTGTCACCTGAGACAACAACTTTTGTTTAGTTTTGTCTTGTTTCTCCGATAACAATTTGCTAATTTTCTTTTCAGTTTGTAAGATGAAAAATTTACATCAGATATGGTCCATCAATATTGATCTATCTGTTATATTTTCTTAGAATGTTATATATATATATATATATATATATCATTTTGACNACCCAGTCATTTTCAGAGAGGTGTCTTTCTGATGGTTTATCGTGTTCTTCTGATAGCTTTTATTCTGAATCAAACCAATCTATTCTGCAAAACGCAATGGACCTTGTGATTCCGAAATCTCGGCATACTGAACCTGATGATGTCAAGACGGTGGCTGCATGTACTGGCACCAAAATTCAAAATAAAGTGCTTAGTAGGTTGGTGACACCTGCTCATGAGTCACCACAAATAGAAAAAAATGTTTTGAGAGACATTTTCATATGGGGAGAAGGAATAGAAGGAGGGTGTTTGGGAGGTGGTTTTCATAAGATTGGTAACCACACCTGGATGCCCTTGGATGCTTTATTACCTAAATTACTGGAGTCCACCATGATGCTAGACGTACAAAAAATATCTCTTGGTGGGAAGCATGCTGCCTTGGTTACCAAACAGGGGGAAGTTTTTTGTTGGGGTGAGGGGAAAGGGGGAAGGCTTGGGCATAAAGTCGATATGGATATCGGGTGCCCAAAAGTGGTCGACTCCCTTACTGAGGTTTGTGTGAAATCAGTTGCTTGTGGTGAATATCAAACATGCGCTGTGACACTTTCTGGTGAGATCTATGCATGGGGAGGTAGTGGTTATGGCACTGATTTAGCAGGAGAGGATAGATACAGAAGCGAGTGGCTCCCACATAGGCTCTCTGGTCCTTTGGATGGTATATGCATATTAAATGTTGCTTGTGGTGAATGGCATACGGCAATTGTATCTACATCTGGGCAGTTATTCACTTATGGAGATGGAACTTTTGGGGTACTTGGGCATGGAAATTTTCAAAGTGTTTCTCAACCAAAAGAAGTTGAGTCTCTCAAGGGTTTAAGGGTAAAGTCTGTTGCTTGTGGACCTTGGCACACAGCTGCAATAGTTGAAATCATGGCTGATTGTTTCAAGTCCAACGATCACGGTGGGNGTTTCTCAACCAAAAGAAGTTGAGTCTCTCAAGGGTTTAAGGGTAAAGTCTGTTGCGTGTGGACCTTGGCACACAGCTGCAATAGTTGAAATCATGGCTGATCGTTTCAAGTCCAACGATCATGGTGAGAAATTGTTTACTTGGGGAGATGCAGATAAAGGAAGGCTTGGACATGCTGATCAAGAAACAAAGCTTTCACCAACATGTGTTGCACAACTTGTAGAGCATGTTTTTGTCCAGGTATCCTGTGGAAGAATGCTCACTGTTGGACTAACAAACAAGGGAATTGTTTACACAATGGGGAGTGTGGTGCATGGGCAATTAGGGAATCCACAGACCAGAGATAAAACAATCACAGTTGTACAGGGGAAACTTAAACATGAGTTTGTTAGGGAGATATCATCAGGTTCTTATCACATTGCTGCCTTAACAGCAAAGGGAAATGTTTATACCTGGGGAAAAGGTGCGAACGGGCAGTTAGGGCTAGGGGATACTGTAGATAAAAATTCTCCCACTTTAGTAGAGGCCTTGACTGGTAGGCAGGTAGAAAATGTAACTTGTGGATCAAGTTCAACTGCCGTAATTTGTTTACACAAATCTATTTCTGGTACTGACCAGTTGGCTTGCACAGGTTGTAGCATGGCTTTTGGGTTTACAAGGAAGAAGCATAACTGTTATAACTGTGGTCTTTTGTTCTGCCGTGCATGTACCAGCAAGAAGGTTAGAAATGCATCTCTGGCTCCTAAAGGGAGCAAACCTGTTCGAGTCTGTAATCCGTGCTTCAATCAGCTGCAGAGAATTCCACATTCAGGTAGACCATCAGAGATGAATAATCTTAGTCCTAGACCTTTATTAATAATACAGAAGGCATTCTCGGATGGGAAAGAAGATAGAGGTGATGCAACTAGTATGCAAAGTCAAATGGTCCCGTCCAAAAACTGTTGTGATGGTAATAGCATGTGCCATGAGAGGAAGACCATGAAGAACGAGGGAGAAAATGATCAGCCTTTAGACCCTATTTCTTACTTGTCTGGTGGCTTGCCAAGATGGGGGCAGGTTCCTTTCCCTTTATTGTTTAGAGAATATGGTGCAGAGCCGATGATGATCAATGTTCCTGAGAGAAAAAATCCTTTATATAGTGTTGCTCATGTTTGCTTGCAAGAGGTCACCCAGGAGTCAACGTTTTTAGCTTCTGCTGCCATAAATGCACCAAAAGACTTAACAGACTCTGGTAAGATACATCGTGAAGAAGCTCAGAAGCTGAGAGCTGAGGTGATCATGTTCTTCTAATCCTATTTGTTTCTCTTTGCCATGTTTATACTTGGCTATAATTCTCGTTGTGACCTCTCTATCTCTCATGTACACATGCATGCGCATAGATGGTGCTCGATCTGTTCCATAGCTTGCATTTTAGGTGCAGTAAAGTATAATGTAAAGACTAACTTGTTCAGGAGAAGAATTTACTTCCAAATCCATTGACTATCAGCTGTAACACTCTAGTCAGCTTCGAAAAGAACACGAATCCCCGGTGGTTGGAGTTAGTACATGAACCCTTCTTCTTCTTTGAGGTCTTTGTAGAGTCTCACCCCATGCAGTCTTTAAGTATTTTATCATATTCATTACAATTCCAATGTTGAATATTTGTTGCCAAATTCTATAATGACAAAAAACATTGCCAATACTTTTTTTGACAATTACCTAGACTAGATGGAAGCTGGAAAGAATATATAAAGTTCTAGACAGACAACTATGTAATTTTAAACTGTCACCTGAGACAACAACTTTAGTTTAGTTTTGTCTTGTTTCTCCGATAACAATTTGCTAATTTTCTTTTCAGTTTGTAAGATGAAAAATTGACATCAGATATGGTCCATCAATATTGATCTATCTGTTATATTTTCTTAGAATGTTATATATATATATATATATATATATCATTTTGACTCGGTGTAAATATGACAGATCTAAGATATAATTGGGATAAAGGTTTTGTCGAGTCCTTGAGTAGCAGAGTTTTGTTATTTTCTACTTTTGTCTTATCCAGCAACTCTAGCACGTCAAATCAAAATTTTACATGTATCGTGTTTTTTTGACAGGCCGAGAGTCTTGAAGAGCTATGTCAAAAGAGAAGGGAGACAATTAAAGAATGTCAACAAAGAGTTGAGGAAGCTTGGTCACTTGCGAAGGAGGAAGCTGCCAAGTGTAAGGCTGCAAAGGAGGTTATAAAAGCTCTGACATCTAGGGTAATTTTCTTGTGAGTTACTCTGCTGGCTGAATACCTTACTTTATTTGGAAAAATTGTAAGCCAATGAGACCAATGTGAGTTTTGTTTCTTCTCTGAATCATTGAATGCACAAATCCATCTAGTAGAATAGAAAATTTTTAATCAAAGAAGAAATGGTTTTATCACAAAACTTAAGTCATTATCACAAGTGACAAACCTAGAAAAACATACTGAGGTTTGTAACCCCACTAATATGCTGAAGAAATGGAAAGGACTATATGTCCATGTTGTTTTACCATTAGTCAATGTCCTACTTAATAGATCACTGGAAGTCGAAGATTTTTGCATCATTAATTATCACCAAATTCTTATACTTTAAGGCATGTGGGAGATAATTGATGGATGAAACTGATGAATTTTTTTTTATGTTGAACCTTTTCCATGTGAATATGAACTAGGAAAATCAATGGTTTGAGATCTAATGGGAAATCACAATTTGATAAAATTGATCACCAATCTCTGCTGGAGAAAAGAGTTGCTAATTCTGTATAGTGTAGATATGAATTCATTTGATGAATTTTTCTTCGGTCCATCGTGAACGATAAAGAATGCGAAAATAATGTGAGCTCCCTTGAACAACAAATTGTAAATTTTAGCAATCAAATAGAATGAGGGATTAACAAACATGATTTCCTAGCTCAGGGCATTGGTCTCATTATTGGCAGAACTTGGCATCTCACGCGACATGGCAATAGCTAGAAACAGTACTTAAACCAAGCCACAAAAAAATGGAAAAAAAAAACCCTGAACTCTATGAAAACTTGAAAAAGATGAAACAAGAGGCAATGCAACGAAAAACTGCACATTGTCTTCCTTATTCATCTCTAGGATTGTCTCTGTTCAGGTACAGGTTGGACATTGCAGCTTTTAATTCAGCTCATTTATGTAAATTTCCAGTTGGGTAGGTCACATGGCCTACTGTTCCTCTATTTATGTTTTAATAATAAGCAATTTAATCTATCTGCACAAACACATTACATATGGTACTTTTATCTTCCTAATGAAAGAGCCTAAAATGAAAAAGTAAAAAAACTATTTCTTGATGCTATTTTTTTCATGTGGAATGCATATATTACTGTCATAATATTGATCTGTAATAGATATGTTTTGTTGCAGCTTCATACAATGTCTGAGAAACTTTCAGCTGGTAGAGAAACTAAAGATCAAGTTAGTGTCACTCTGCCTCAAATCACATCTATTTGTACAAATAGCCCCACCATGAAGGGTGCCCACCCGATGTTTGTGGCTACACATGAACCTCCTGATGTTGGAAAACTGGAAGACACAAACGTTAATCCTCAATGTAGTTCTCCTATCTTGTTCTCGAATACATTACTATCAATGCGTAATAGAGACATAAATACCGGTGATGCTAGATCAGCTGAGGAATCATGTGCTAGAAGAACCGATTCTGTACAAGATGAAAACAAAGCCATGAAACTTGAATGGGTAGAACAGTATCAACCTGGTGTGTACATCACATTCATAACTTTGCCGAGTGGGCAGAAGGGACTCAAGCGGGTGAGATTCAGGTAATTCTCTATGAACTAGAATGTTTTTGCGTCTATCTTATTTTATTTAATAGATTTCTGACTATCCATCATCCTATATGATAAATTAAGGTGGCACCTTGTAAGTGACCAGGAAAAATGGGTTTATCATCATCTAACGGTTGGAACATACAAATGTAGATAAAAATGTAGATGGTCATTTTATTTATGAGTATGTTCAATCTTGTCCACTCTATTTGATAATCTGGTACAATGAAATCCACCTTTTAACTTAAATTAGTTTATTGATTCCACTAATTTGCAGCAATCACGATGATTCTGCAAGAGTGATCAACAAATATGGAAACAATAAAGTACAAATGAAACACATGCAACACTAAATATTTAGGTTTTATGGAACTAAGCCTCATCCATGGGAAAGTAAAGATATATTCCAGCATCACATTGGACAGATTACAACTCGACAGAAACAGGAAGTTACCTTTCTGAATAGAAATTGAGCCTCATTAACAAACTATATAAACCAACCTGTTATAAGTTGGGCAAAACTGAGTCAGGATGACCCCCAAGAGCACAAGAGAGGAATACACTGACACCTTTCTTGCCTATTTTAGTGCCTACACCCTACAAATCCAGTCTCTCAAGACGTTAGATCTTGTAAAATCTCATGGTTTTCTCAAAAATCTCTTTGGGTTGCCATTCTGAATCCAATTGTCTGCAGATTGACATTTTCATCCACAACAGACATACTATCTCTACACAGCACAAAGTGAGCTATTCAACATGGTCTACTTCATTTAAGGAATAAGTCATCAGTTTACTTTAAATACTTTATTAATGGAACTTGTTAAACTCCCATTCACTTATGACTTGCTTTTTCTAATAGTCTCTCTTGAATTGCCTGATCACTCCATATAATCAAGGAGCAAAACTTGTCAGTGGACTACCTTTCCCTTGACCACCATTTCACCAAAGAACCCTTAATATCATCAAAGCTATCAAAAGATACATTTCTTTCGTACTCACTACACATGCCACCCTGTTGTCTGCTTGTTACAACTCAAAATCAAATTACACAACCGTTTGATCTCCTGATCAATATTTCTAATTTTTCAGATGGTAAAATTGTCTGACTCTGGACCTCCTTTGCCCATTTTGAATTTTCAACATATACACAAATGTATGCGAAAATCCTCTCTAACAGATTAGATGAGTTGGTGTTTTTACATAATATCAGACCAGGGGGCTTGTGTTTGAATCTCACCATCACCCTAATTTTAATAATTAAGTTGCTGGTTTAACATGGAGAATGCCAGCAGTCCTGTAAGAAAATTCAGTTTGTAAAGATTTCAGATGGCAGAAATTCTCCAATATGGAACATGCCCCTATACACATTTCCTCGCTAACAATGTTGCGTGAAACTTCGTCTTTTTAGACTAAGAGGATTATAGGAATTGTACTTCGAGTTGAACTCCTCCATATGTATCTTGCATCATGGTTACCTGGTTACTTTGCTACAACTTGGGCAATTTATGAACTTTAAACTTTCAAATTCATAATAACAGTTATTCTCTTCAAGCTACGATATATATAGTATCAGTAGACGTTTTCATCATACACTCTAGTCTCAAGTTTGTTCAATCTAGAACAACTTTGAACAGTGATTGACCTAGGTATGTTATTTTGCAGTCGGAGAAGATTCTCTGAGAAAGAAGCAGAGAAATGGTGGGAGGAGAATCAACTAGAAGTCTACCAAAAGAATGACATTGACGGATATATGAGTTCAAACCACAATACAACAAGGTGCTAATTCTCCTTCCATCTGTAAGTCTTGGATCAATTTGGGGGTAGGGGGTGGGGGTGGTCAGAAGGGATCATGTTGCACAAATGATTACGTAATATGGGATAGCAGAAGTGATGTGCTGAAGGTGAAAGCAGTTTGGCGCTGTCAGCATTGCACTGGACATTCCCATCTACCTGTAAGGCAAAGTGGGTGTTTTATGTTGATTTTGTTTTCTATTAGTTTTCTTGCCAAGGAATATGTACCATTTGTTTGCTATTTGTTCATATGGGGTTGCTTGTCTGATTCATCCACTGTTGTATAGTTATCAATAACACTTAGCCCCCTTCCACACCCGGGGAAGTAGAGTTTGCAAGATGGCTGGCTCTAATGGNAGTGGGTGTTTTATGTTGATTTTGTTTTCTATTAGTTTTCTTGCCAAGGAATATGTTCCATTTGTTTGCTATTTGTTCATATGGGGTTGCTTGTCTGATGCATCCACTGTTGTATAGTTATCAATAACACTTAGCCCCCTTCCACACCCGGGGAAGTAGAGTTTGCAAGATGGCTGGCTCTAATGGAACACAAATCCAGGTGTATGTGCCCTTAGAATTTTTCGAGAATGGATCCTCAATAAATAGAGTCCCTTTGCAATATGTTCTGCTTTGATTTGCAAGGTAAAGAGTTTGAATCTTATTTTGAAATTTTGATTATTTGGGTGCATATTTTTGCTTTTAAGTGCAGATTTTTTTTTAACATCTACATTTCTTGAAAAGTTGGTCTCTTTGTTGATCCAAATGTCAAGTATAAGTTTTCTTTGGCTTTCAAACCTATTTTAAACTCAAATTTGCACAAAAAAAAAAAAAATACCCTACCCTGTCCGTTCTAAATGCTGATTTACTGCTGAATAATTGGACTCTGAGCAGTCATGTGACAATTTTCAGGAGGTAATTTATGTTTTGTACCATCTTATGATCATTAAACCAGCTTTACGGAGAAAAGTTTGATCGATACACAGTTGAGGAGATTGATCACGAATGCTAATCTTGTTCATGGAAGGCTAAGATGGTTTTTTATATACTCGTAACCTGATTAGAACACCCTTAATCGTTAAACAAAAAAAAAACAAGAAGTGGAGGTAAAGACTTCAGTCGGAATAACAAAGGTTGATGATTGTGTTCGTCTGAATTTCACATGAAGTTGAGAAAATGTGAGNGGAGGTAATTTATGTTTTGTACCATCTTATGATCATTAAACCAGCTTTACGGAGAAAAGTTTGATCGATACACAGTTGAGGAGATTGATCACGAATGCTAATCTTGTTCATGGAAGGCTAAGATGGTTTTTTATATACGCGTAACCTGATTAGAACACCCTTGATCGTTAAACAAAAAAAAACAAGAAATGGAGGTAATGACTTCAGTCGGAATAACAAAGGTTGATGATTGTGTTGGTCTGAATTTCACATGAAGTTGAGAAAATGTGGNCATGTCAAAAAAATAATAAAAATGTGCCGAAATATCTCGAAATACTTTGAAATATTCCAAAACATCTTGAACCGTTGAAAATTTAATTTCATCATTGATTTGTTTTGGTCTCTTTAAAAACGAAAACGTTTCGAGCGTTTTGTTTAAGACATTTCGAAAGGAAATTTTATTCATTTGACACATCTACTACCTTCTCTAATAGAGCATTTGATCTGNTATGCTTAATGAAGTGCGAAGCTTCCAACAGTTAAACAAACTTTTTCCCCCAGGTGGTTGATTTCATTAGTGGTGAATGGTGATGAGATTTGAACACCTGATATTTTTGGATATTGTCTAAAACTATGAAATTAATGAAAATGTTAAATCGGTGTTTATATATGAGAGTGTTAAAATATGATACGACTCATTAACACGACACAAAATTAGAGGGTTTAAATCTTCCTTGAGTCATTCATTTTGTAAACGATTGGATCACANTTAGACTTCGCTTTATGCTTAATGAAGTGCGAAGCTTCCAACAGTTAAACAAACTTTTTCCCCCAGGTGTATGATTTCATTAGTGGTGAATGGTGATGAGATTTGAACACCTGATATTTTAGGATATTGTCTAAAACTATGAAATTAATGAAAATGTTAAATCGGTGTTTATATATAAGAGTGTTAAAATATGATACGACTCATTAACACGACACAAAATTAGAGGGTTTAAATCTGCCTTGAATCATTCATTTTGTAAACGATTGGATCACACGACATAATACGATACGATTAATAAAAGAATGGGGTATGTTTGAAATCAATCAAAAGAATCTCACAACATGACTCTTATATATACCGGTTATACACATTGATATGCGACATGAACCCGATATAACATGATTCAATAAACATATATTAATAAATAAATCGAATATGAGCAGATTATTTTTTTTGATACAAATATGTTAAAACTTGATACGATGATTGAAAGATCTCGTTATATAGATTACTAAACACGAATCATTAACTAAATCAAGATCTGTATTACTTTGATTAATGACAACAAATTAACAAAACAAGGCTATGCTTCTGCTCTTTTGAATTTAATAATCAAAATTGAATTGTTAAGTCCTTTCTTAATTACAATATTCTTCATTGTTTTTTCTTTTTCTTCTTTTGGCTGGCTGTAGATTCATGAGACGTCGGTTTTGAGCATTCAGACAAAAAAAGAAGCATCGGGGAGGCTTGCTTTCGGCAACAGTTTCGAGGCCGATTATTCTAAAACATTAAAAAAACAAATTAGTTTAATAAAGCTTAAATTATGATTACGTCATTGCTTTTACATACCTGTTCAGACTTGTTTTAGGTGATTCCCATTGAGAATCCTGTTTAACGTCCATTTGCATGCAATGATGATTATTAATTATCAATGAAAACAACGTACATGTATATAAATATTCATCTTCTTCGTTTTTTTTTGTAGGTATTGGGATATAAAGGTCATATTAACTTTATCATTAAATCTTGATTAAGAACAACAATGATAAACAATTAACCTGCGAGACTAGCCCGGATACGAAGCTTCTTAATGGTCTGTTTAGTAGGACGAGTAAAAAAATAAAAGAATAGAAAACCGAAATAATACATTTTCTATTATTCAATGGAGGAATCTTTTCTCCTTTCCTTTGTATTTGGTAAAAAGGAAGGATTGATTTTTTTGTATTTGGTAGATGGAAAAAAATATTATTTTTTATTTTTTGTTAAAAAAATATAAATACATATTTTATCATTATATTTATATATGAAATTAATGTATACATAATATATAATTGATAAAAATGATATATATATATATATATATATATATATATATATATATATATATATGTATATGTATATATTAAAGGATATTTAGACAAATGACATACATTTCAGTGCACATAATTATTTTCCATCCGTTTTTCCTCTCAATTTTGAAGGGATTAATTTTGGTAAATTTGAAAGAAAGTTCATCAATCCATTTTTTCATCTTTTTTATTTTTCTTTCTTATCAAATATAATGTTCTATCCATTCTTTTAATTTTTTATCATTTCATCTTTCTATCCTACCAAACGAAAAGAAGGATGAGATAAAGTTATTATCTTCGGGTGCTAAGTTTGACTCTTAGAAGAGCCATCATCGATATGCCAAAAATACACGTTAATCTAGAAGATTTTGTGATTTATAAGTAATTGTATATAATTATAATTCATAAATTTGAAAATTATCTGGATAACTTAGTCGTCAATATGTATATATATAAAACACGATTTTTGCAGTGTCCTAATGAAACTAAAGCCAGAGAGAGAGAGAAAGCAGAACATCAATTTGATTAAAATTGGAGAATATTTGTTGCATTATTTCATTGGTAGAACATTGAGTATTGCAGAGGACTCAAAGATGTTTAAAGATAATGATGGTAACAGCGAAGAAGAAACACATAAAGAGACCCACAAAAAGGGAAAAAGCACCAAAAGATGGATCGACAAAAAGGAAAAGTAAGAGAGAGAGAGAACAATTTGGCATCACGCTGAGAAGGATGAGCAGAATGCAACAAGCGATCCTGCTTTGACACGTAAGAAACTTTTTATTTCACGTGGCAAAAGTAGGCCCCAGCGCTGTGAGTTGTGGGCCCTGGGCCCTTTATTAGTTCTACGCCAACTCCTTTTCACTGTTTGATAGTCAGACAATTGGAGAAGGGCACATGCAAATATTAAAATTTTGTTTTGATATATTATTTTAATTATTTATGAAATTAAAATATTTTAAAAACGTTATGAAAATAAATAGAAATGAAGAAAAAATTTGGCATTTATTTTTAAAATATTTCAAAATTCTAGTCACAATATATAAAAACATCTTGAAATACTTCAAAACATGTCAAAAAAATAATAAAAATGTGCCGAAATATCTCGAAATACTTTGAAATATTCCAAAACATCTTGAACCGTTGAAAATTTAATTTCATCATTGATTTGTTTTGGTCTCTTTAAAAACGAAAACGTTTCGAGCGTTTTGTTTAAGACATTTCGAAAGGAAATTTTATTCATTTGACACATCTACTACCTTCTCTAATAGAGCATTTGATCTGAGGAATAGAAAAATAAGGGATTGGAAAAAATAATGGGAATGTCTAAGAAGAAAAAAAAATTTCTCTCATTTTTCTATCATTCTTACAAACAAAAAGAAAATTATTATTTATACAATATCATAAATGCCCTTATGTAGTGTAAGTATTTCTATGTGGACCAAGCCTAAAAAGGTTTGGTCGCCAAGACAAATAGACAAAATTTGAGGGCCCTATGTTTATTTTTCCATTAATGCTATGGAGGCATAATTTAAAGATATAATTTATAACATAGCGGAGTGCATTTAATATTGAGACTCACTGATAATTTAATGACCATAATTATTTTGTTCCAA